TCTCTGCATCTCTGGATCAGAACTTGGATACTGAACAAGGCTTCTCTCTTACCCAAGCCACACCTAAATCCGAATTGAGTATTGCTAATTTTCTTCTCTAGTATCGTTTATATTCTGATATGTATTACTCGCAGGAAGATTTTCAAAACGTAACGCATCAGACATTGTCCGATAATCACTTCATATATTTGCACGATGTTTCTTTGGTATTCAATGTCATAAATTCTGTTTTAAGAGCTACACAGTGTCTTAATTCCATTTCCTTCTAAAAACTTTAGTATTTCAACACTTACTTCATAGGGGCCAAGTGTTTTTCCATTTCTTGCCTTTTTTTATTGTCCATATAACCTCACTTTCTGTTATATATGGACCTGTTATAGCAATCTGTGTAGTGTTTTGCTTTTCATATTCAAATAATTCAGAAATATAGTGATTCATTTTTTTCATTCTTTTAATTATTTTTCTTTGATATCTAATATTCTCTGTAAATTTTTGTCTTCTAAACTTTGGGCATTTTCAGTTTAGAAATTTATTAAGATTTAAACATATGTAATGTTTTTTTATGGCTTGTTATAAAAGGTTTTATTTATTCATGAATTCACAATGTGGAAAATGTAGCGCAAGTGTTGATTTTTTGCTGCAACTGGAGATTTTAGTCAAAGCAGCTAAAGAGTACCAGAGGAGTGAGTGGTTTCTTCCCTTTTGTGGTCACTTCTGGTGAATGACGTGATCTCGCTCCTTGGCGCACAGGGGTATAGATGCAGGCCTATGCGGATGATCTAGTAATGTTGTATACAAAACATTACAAAGAACATTAAATATCCTTACTAGGTGGTGCGATAGAGAAAACTCTCTGTCGCAGTAACACAGTACTAATCATTTTACTTGGTGGACAATAACTACGTTAAAAGAACCTACTACAAATTTTATAATAGTCTTAGGGTATAAGACAAAATTTGTGATGATTTTCAAGACTATATCGCTATTTTTAGAAATGTGTTATTTTTGTACCTTGTGTTTTTATTTAAATTATTCGTTACAAACGACTAAAGTTACTTGTTAAAAGGTATGAAAAACTTTTGTGTTGCCATTTTTAGAATACTACTGTTGTTTTTTCTTCCTCAATTTATATTCATAATAGTTTTTCTGTTTTGTTTACCAAACCAATAAAAGAATAATTTACACTTTAAAATAAAATTCAGGTTAAAAATCAATAACAGTCACTATTGGCGATGTAAAACGAAAGAGGCGACACGGTGCGGTAAAATTTTGAACTAGTGCACGTAGGATAACAAAACATTTTGTATTTAGTTATACACACATAACATAGTTATAAACATTTTAAATATTATTAAATAAAGCACAATAAGATAACAAAATGTTAAAAAGTAAATGTAAACCGTATTGCTTTGCACCGCAATGCAGTAATTATCGATCGCAAGGAATAACTATGCACTTTTTTCCTCGTGACAAAAATTTATAAGATCGTTGTGCACAGGAATTAAAAATTGGGAAATCGATATCAAGTGATAGAATGGTGTGTTAACAACATTTTTTTATCAACAGATTTTTTTTCAAGTAAATTTTCTGAACATAATTGCAACATTTATTATATATAATGTGCCTACCTAACCTAACCAAATATATACACTAACATAGATCTTAATTAAAATTTTTCTGCAACAGGGCAAAAGAAACTTTCAAAGAAAGGTGTTGTTCCCTCTCAATGCCTTCTTAAAGGAAAACACGAAAGAAAAATCAATGAGGAACTGGTGAATGCTAGACTAATGCGTAATAAAACACGTACATTCCTTTACAAGTGCATTTTGCCATCCACACTCGTCTCTTAACACATCCACAGTGATTTCATGTGGGGCACAATTTAAATTAGTCGTTTGCAGTCACAAACCGACTAATTTGTTATTATATTTGCCACACAACACAACGTGGCCAGCCTTTAATAAGGCCTCGCCTTCTTTTAAAGGTCTTTTTGTGTCTCCTATATATTTCAAAATATGGAGCAGACTAACTTCAATTTCTTTATTTTCCATTGCGTTAACAAAAAAATAAATGGAAGATAATAAATACAGATAATTTTTAGACACAACAATCATTCACCTACAAAGATTATGGTAGCTCTGTTTTGTTTTCCTACGTGCGTGATCATCTGTCAAAGTGCCCCCTATAGTTCCCCCAATATGTGCATGTTGATCAACATGTTAATATTAACCAAGCAACTTTCTTCCAGATAAAAATAGACGCTTTTTTTTGCACTATTTAAGCAATAAAATGGAAAGTGAAAATTTTTAAAATATAACCATAGACATAATGACAATAGACTAGGTTAGGTATTAGTATCACACATCGAGTTAGAATCTATGGAGAAGCTATGGTCATATTAACGTGTGTATTAAAAACGGCGTCAGTATGTGTGGCTAACGATCATACCAATATGGCGGTGGGATCAGGGCCTGACTGAATAATATTAAAACTACTATACAAGTGTGTCTAGTTATTCAGAAGATTTAATTATAATGTAAAAAAGTGCAATACATTTTTAATAAACTATGATTTATTTATCCTGCGGTAAACACTAAAAACACGACATATTATACATGATAAATTAATTACAGTCAATGTAAATAATATTTTAAAGGGTAAAATGAATATACGGTATGAAATAAAGGTAATACGTTCGTTTTACAACTTATATATTTGATAACTACAAATTAACTGACACTTAAAAGTTTAGTTCAGTTAACAAGTTAGAAAAGTTATTATTAAAAAAAACAAAATTGAATATCTGCCGAATATCACAATGGAACTACTGTGTAGAAATAAAAATAATTATGTTGCAGTAGTTAATAAGATATTTCAAGATATTTAGGATAAAGATATTTGAGTATTCTCAAGATCTACCGCACGATCTACCTTACCTTTAAGATTTTTTATGAATACTATTAATTTATTTTCTGAAGGACGTGCCATTACTTCGTTTACATATTTGTATACTAACCTGTGGAACGTTATTCCTGAAGATTTTTTATTAACATTGCTACTGCAAACTACGTTGAGAACAAGAAACCATTATTATGCACTATCACAATATAATATTACAGTTTTTATAAAAGTATTATAAAACTAAAAATATTCGAAAAACAAAATACGTAAATAACCATACATGACCTGACACAAAGATCATACCTATATGGCCGAAGTGAAGTCGTTTTTAGTCACGTGATGCCCTATCCATAAATTCTAAGTCGATGGTATCACCAAAGAATATAGACGCTTAGCGTCTATATTCGCTTAGCGGTTATCACTATTTAAGCAATAAAATGGAAAGTGAAAATTTTTAAAATATAACCATAGACATAATGACAATAGACTAGGTTAGGTATTAGTATCACACATCGAGTTAGAATCTATGGAGAAGCTATGGTCATATTAACGTGTGTATTGAAAACGGCGTCAGTATGTGTGGCTAACGATCATACCAATATGGCGGTGGGATCAGGGCCTGACTGAATAATATTAAAACTACTATACAAGTGTGTCTAGTTATTCAGAAGATTTAATTATAATGTAAAAAAGTGCAATACATTTTTAATAAACTATGATTTATTTATCCTGCGGTAAACACTAAAAACACGACATATTATACATGATAAATTAATTACAGTCAATGTAAATAATATTTTAAAGGGTAAAATGAATATACGGTATGAAATAAAGATAATACGTTCGTTTTACAACTTATATATTTGATAACTACAAATTAACTGACACTTAAAAGTTTAGTTCAGTTAACAAGTTAGAAAAGTTATTATTAAAAAAAACAAAATTGAATATCTGCCGAATATCACAATGGAAATACTGTGTAGAAATAAAAATAATTATGTTGCAGTAGTTAATAAGATATTTCAAGATATTTAGGATAAGATATTTGAGTATTCTCAAGATCTACCGCACGATCTACCTTACCTTTAAGATTTTTTATGAATACTATTAATTTATTTTCTGAAGGACGTGCCATTACTTCGTTTACATATTTGTATACTAACCTGTGGAACGTTATTCCTGAAGATTTTTTATTAACATTGCTACTGCAACTACGTTGAGAACAAGAAACCATTATTATGCACTATCACAATATAATATTACAGTTTTTATAAAAGTATTATAAAACTAAAAATATTCGAAAAACAAAATACGTAAATAACCATACATGACCTGACACAAAGATCATACCTAATATGGCCGAAGTGAAGTCGTTTTTAGTCACGTGATGCCCCCTCCATAGATTCTAACTCGATGGTATCACCAAAGAATATAGACGCTTAGCGTCTATATTCTTTGGTATCACATCTATTCACACATCTGCGAATAGATGTGAAACGACAATATTCGCTTTGAGTGGTCTATCTATCTCTATCTGTCTGTCTTGTCAAGTCTATATTAAAACATAAAAATAATAATTTATATTGCATATTCAAGATAATATCTACCAGAAAATAGTTATACCGTCAATTTTATTCAAAAAGTTTAGAATTTTATTGGCAATATTACAATATTGTTAAGGAATCTGTGGTGTTTTAATATTATAAACAAATTTACTTACTTAAAAAATCTGCGACGTTTGTCTCCTGAGATCAAATCTTTGTGGCAAATAATATACGTTTTTGTCATTTTACAGTTTATTTTACAATTAATTTTTACAATATAAAATAGTGAATACAAAATTCAATCAAAAAATCTAGCAAGAGTTAAACACAACCGAGTCAAAAGGTTAGTTATACTTAACTCATAGTACAACGGCCTATGCGTAATGCGCCAGCGCTGCTAAAGAGAGATGGATAGACCACCGATCGAGTGCTCCCTGTTTCCTTAATTTGCTCACGATTATAATAGTCTATTCTTATTATGTCTATAAATATATCTTCAAAATTAACAGAGTAAGTATGAGTAGTATATATTTAATTTTGTTGTTTTTTTTACAGAATTGTCCTCATGGTAGACCCACGATGCGACATTTAATAAATTTACGTCTATTAGATCGAAATAAATGATTGTATAAAATCTGGTTTTTAATTATACTATAAAATGTTTGTTTTGTATTATTTTTTACTCGAATTAAATAATTGAAATTAAAGAAAGGTTTATATTATACATACATACATACATACATATATATATATATATTATAATATATTATATATATATATATATTTATATATATATATATTATATATATATATACTACCGAGCATAAAATTAGGGTCATTCCGTAATTTAAATTTATTCTAGAAATTATTATTCTCTTTTATCTATTTTCGGTTGTAACATAGTTTACTAACGGATTGCTTAAAGAGAACAACTTTTTTGTCGTTTAAAGTTTATTAAAAATAATGGAAATGAAGAATTTTCCTTTAATATACTATATATTAAAAAGGACAATTTTAAGTTGATGTGCTTTTTGTTGAAAAAAAGAAATTTTAAGAACTTCAGCAGCAAGTATTCCCTCCTCTGGCAGTGATAACAGCTTGCAAACGACGAGGCATGCTTTGGATCACATTCTGCGGAATATTATTCCATTCTTGCACCAATATGTCGCGAAGCTCTCTCGAATTTCTGGGGGCCGGCACATGACTCGTAAACGTCTCTTCATCTCATCCCAAACATGTTGTATGGGATTGATATCTGGACTGCGAGTAGGCCAAACAAATCGTGTGATTTGAATCTCGTCAAAATACTCAGTAACTATCCTATACTACGTTCCACGTTTAGAAAATAACATTGCGGAGATAGGACCATGTATTTCTTATGGACGATAGCAACGCGGCGTTGCCACGACACACAACACAATTTAGGGTTGTATAATTTGTATTTTCGTTTCCACAAACATGAATTAAATTAATGTTTTTTAACGTAATTGACCAAAAGTGTCCATTCGAAACAAGAGATGAAAAGTAGGGAAAAATGATTTTAATTAGATAAATAGTATTTACAAAAGATAATTTTATTTTATCTTATTTTAATTATAGTAACGACAGTTTATTTGTTTTTCGGTGAGAATACGATATGCCATGAATCATAGAAATCAGTAGAAAATATTGACGGCTTGGAATGCGTATATCTAATTACTAATTGCAACTTAAAATAATATGATGTGCCTATGTCAGCTATTTTATGTCGTTCTCTGACTACATAATGATAATAAGGCTTTTATTAAGTAGTTATTCTGACTTTACAGTTAAATGTTAATTGAAAATGAAAATTCAAAAATTAAGCAAAGGGAATATCTTGGACATCTGTGCAAAAGAGAGTGCCTGAGAGTTTTGGCAACACTGATCTCCATAAGCGTAATGTTATTTTCTTAACTTGAAACAAAGAATAGCAGTCTGGGGCCGTGCATTATCATGCATAAATGTTGCGTCATCTCCAAGAATAACCATAAACGGTAAAACATGGTTTTCCAGAATCTGTGTCAGGTACCTATGCGCTGTCAATGTCTCATTCTCGATAAAGACTAACTCCGTGCAAGCATCAGCTGTGGATTCCTGTCCATTGTCGAATATTGCGCAGCCATGACATTTTTTTCGTCCCAGACCTCTCCTACCCTCTATCTTCCCTTCGAGTATCAGTTGCTGAAAAGTGTATGTTTCTCATCGTAATATGTGCCCCAAGTATTCAGTCTTCTTACTTTTTACATAACTAAAAAGTTCCCTATCCTGTAAGCCCGCTCTTCTGAGTACTTCCTCATTTCTGACCCTGTCCGTCCATGATATTCTAAGCATTCGACGCAGGCGCCACATTTCAAACACTTCAAGTTTGTCAATGGAACTGAGGAACTCATGTGGTTGTTCCTGTTTATTTCTTTTGTAAGTAGTTGGTTATAATGTTAGTAGTTTTCGCTCTATATTCATCCCTTTTGTCTTATTACATTAATTATGATATTTTCGAGATCTGCTAATATTGTGTTAACGTCAACTTCTTTAGTTTTAGGTATTAGACTAAATTTAGGATTAAGTGCCAAGAATTTTTTAACACTATATGGTATTTTGATGATATTTAAGTTTTTAAACCATTTCTCTTGAAAAGATAGATTCTTAAATTTGTCTATTTTTATATTATTTAAATTTTCTGATGTTAACATATCTAATTTTAAAGAAATCAGTATTATATCTGATCTGTTGTCGTCTAAAAACTCATTAACTATATGAATTGGCAACGCCGAATGTAACTGCCTTTTGATGTTTGTTAAGTTAGTTTCCATGAATTTAATTTCTGTAATTGTTACACTGATTTCCAATTTCAAAATGTTTCTTTTAAATTTCTATGTTTAAATTATGGACTCTGTTAACTGTTTTACCTCTGCTATGATGTAATAAGTTGTTGACATTGATGATGTTGTTGTTTATGTGGTTCGACAAGCATTGATGTTTTCTGCATTTTAATAAAAATATTTGACAGTTTCTGTAAGCTGCTACTTTGATGTTCACGTTGGCCCATTGTTTGAGCAATCTCACGCAGGTAGGTCCATACCCTTGGTGGATGGTTTCAAAAATCCCGTATTATTTAATATTTTCTTGGAAAGGGCTTTAGTGACTAGGTGAGTATTAATACATATGGATATTTTGGATTTTGTAGTCAAATACTAGTCTTTAAGTAAAACTCTTTAAGGTTTGTTAAACTTTCGAGTTTATTTAACTATTTCTCAAAACATACTAAAAATGAAAACAAAAAACTACATTAGGCAATGAAGTTGTTGTATCTTCAACAGGCTTACCCTTGTGAGGATGTTATTATAAAATTAGCAGTTTTACTTAACATTTGACTTTTTATTAATTTGTTTTTCTTTAATGGAATCCATAGTAATAACTTGGAATGAAAGAAAAAAAGAATAATTTCGCACAAGAGTGACATTAATCTGAATAAAGTATGTCTGTGCATTAAGTGAACATTTTATTACGTTGGGCCACACACCTTACTATGATCAAGCAGAAATATTGAGAAGGGGAAGAAATTACAACAAAAGACTGTTTCTAAAAATGTGTTTAATTAAAACTACACAAAACACCTTAAATAAAAGAGAAGACATTGAAAATCTTAGTGCTATATACAGTAATCTTCTTTTAACGAAAAAAAAAAACAACAACTATATAAAACTTAAACAGATTATAGGGATTATTTTAAGTTTTTTTTTTAATTGGCTTTGCCTTGAAACCTTTAGCCACGTAATTACATCTAAATATTAGTATTCATTCATACAGGATTATACAAGGACACTTTTCACGCTCAGGGATTCATCAGAGCGGCTTTATTGTAACAAACAAGACATAAACCCGGTTAGGTAGGTGGGCAACATATATTGTAAACATACAAAGGAAATGTTCAAGCATACGATCAATTTTACACTCATAACTTTAATTTAATTTTTACAAGAAATATTATAATGATTTTAAAGATTTTTATATTGTCTTCACTTAATAGAAGATTTACGTTTAATGGTGTACTTAAACCCTCTTTTATCAATTCTTTTAGCAGCCACGTGCTTGTATTACGATGTAGTGGGCAGTTGAAGAATATGTGATTTAAATCAGCTATACTAGTTCCACACTCACATCGGTCTGTCGGGAGAACTCCTATTTTGTGTAGATGTTTCGGAAAACATCCATGATCTACTTTTAATCTTAAGACAGTTGACACTGTGTTTCTGCTTAGTGTAACATCTTTGTAAAATTATTTTAAGTTCAAATAAGATATATTTTTTTATTCGTGTTTGGTTTTTCTCTTCTTAATTACAAAGTAACGAAACATTTTTACATATTATGTCAAAATGTGCGATGAAGGTTTGCATAAACATAGACACTTCCTCTGTCAAACTAACCTAAAATGCATATAAAAAATAGAAGAGACATGGAAACCATAGTAATAAGTTTTGAATGAAAGAAAACAGAAAAGCGAAATATTAAAATGTCAAATGTTAAGTAATTCTGATAATTTTATAATAACATCCTAACAAGAGCAACCCTGTTGAAGATACAACTTCATTATCTAATGTAGTTTTTTGTTTTTTTTTTAGTATGTTTTGAGAAAGAGTTAAATAAACTCGAAAGCTTAAAAAACCTTAACGAGTTTTACTTAAAGGCTAGTATTTGACTACAAACCCAAAATATCTTTATGTATTAATACTCACCTAGTCACAAAAGTCAAGCACAAATAAAACAAATTTTTAATATAGTAAATTTTATACACTTATTGTTCTAAATATATTAAAACCACTTTCTGCTGTACTAATTATAACTCCAGGTATTTGGGGATGCCAATGTAATTCCTTAATATTGTTTTGACCTTGGTGAATAAAGAGTAATTGTGGTGGTACTCCCTAGAATAAAAATAATTTTAAAAATGAAAAACTAAAAAAAAATTAACAAAAGACACAATAAAAACAAATTGACACCATCAAAACAGAAGAAGTAGAACGAAACATCAGGGGAGGACATTGAAGATGTAAAGTGGGAAGAAAAAATTAATTTATATTGTAATTTGGATTATACAAATTGTTCAGATAAATATAAAAGAAGAAAAGTAGGAACAGCGAAAACAGCTCAACAGATCTTACAGGCTCATATTTCATGGTCATCCTTTTCTCTTGTTCCCTTGGCCACTCAGGCACGAATCCTTCGCCCAATGTTTCCTTTTCAACTGTCCTAAGTTCTCTGAATATTTGCCTTAAAACACGTAACATATCTGTTGACTTTTTGTTCGTAAAGCAGGTTTCGTTGCTATAAAGGACCGTGGATAAGACCACTGTTCGATACAGTTTATTTTTTGACCTATAGATGTTTTTTCTTTCCATAATTTACGAAGGACTCAAACAGTTTTCGGTCCATTCGCCATCCGCTTCTCAATTTCTTGACTTGGTTCTCTTTATTTGTTACAGTAAACCGTAGGTAGTCAAACTCTTGCATTACATCTTGTTAAAAGGGCATGTTGCTAAAAGTGGATCTTCGAAACACAAGCACCTTTCGGAGTTGAAAATCATTTAAAATTAGATTATGATTTATTTGCATTAATACAACTAGTAATTACTGTATAATTATAGAATTAATTGGAGTAGACTTGAAGATAGTTACAGTTGATTTACAACCAGTACAACTATTAGATTCGAACATCCGAAGGCAAGAAAAAATTCAAGCCACCGTAGCATATAGAAATTGAATTCTGATCAAAATGAAAGCATTGTTATAAGACAATATAATAATTATAGGTAACAAAAGGGATACACAGAAAAGCAGATTAATATAACCAAACGGTGCAGACACAAAACAAGGCTAAATATGGACTGTAGTGCCATTGGAAAAGAAAGAAAGCATGCAACAAATTAGCTCCATATTGAGTTCAGTTTAATTAGTATAATAAGAAACTCAATTCGATAATTAGAACATTACTTCAATACGAATCTTACCGTAACTTCTTCATTATTGCTCTCTGAATCTTTTTCTACTGATAAATCCCATAAAGCAATTTGGTTATCTGCGCCTGCTGATGCAAAAACGGCCGAATCTGTATTGTGCCATTCTACACTAACAACAGGATCTGTATGATGTTTAAAGATGGCCAAAGGAGTATTGCTCTTAAATTTTCTTAGATCCCATATGTGTATAACTCCATCATCTCCACCTAAAACATGTTTTATATTTGTTTACATTCTCAAAATTTAAATTTAATATTTGATTTTTTAATTATAACAAAAATAAATATTTTTAAAAAATAATTTTTCTCTATGGCACTGCACCATACTGTTGAATAATAATAATAAATCACATTTTTGTAAATCGGCACAATGGGCTTACTAGTTGAAAATACGTCTCTACTAAATCAGGTATGTCTGGGAATACATATAATATTTCATAGTGTTGATATCGATATCCTATTTAGATGCCGACTCCTCTAAGATTATAGTTGATCGGCAATTTTTAAATTTCGATATTTTCTCTGAACATGTTTGGCTAAGATGTTGCCAATTTGATCAGTCGCTCGCTCATATAAACGGAGCAATTAATAGGTAATCCAAAACCCATGAAACAGAACAACTGTATGAAAACTGGAAATAGAACAACTGGTAGCATTTATTGCCGTTTTTCAGTTTTTCAAAAGACAACCACCTAAATTTAATTAAACTAGAAAGTCAAAAAGAAGTAACAAGAAAAATCATACGATTTCCTACCTAGCGAAACTGAATTCAAATTTTTACCAGTGTCCTTCTACAAATTCTAAAGCAAACAGATTGAAAAATTACTCGGCAAGGGAATCTAAAATATGCATCGTTCATCATGGTCAAAATTCGTAGTGAATTCAGTTTCTGGTACTCCAAACAGAGTAAAGAAATAAAACATAATCACGGTATTAAATTTTTGTTTCGATGCAGGGCAGCGGCAAACCGATTATACGTATTTCGACCTCTTTAGGTCTCATCAGAGCGGAATATACCACTGCTCTGAATCAAAACAAAATCTATCCCGTCGTAGGCCAATAATTATCGAAATGACTATTTACATACGTAACAACGCCATCTAATAACAACAAGAGAAATCATATGATTTCCTACCTGGCGAGGTAAATAAACACTAATTAATTTAATAAAAACATATACCAACTTTTCATTGATTGTGAGAGTCTCTATGACAACATCGAAAATTTCTAATCCAGACACCAAAAGGGTTTAACCTTCCAACACAACTACGATAGTAAAATAAATACTAAGTACAGCGGAAAATTAGGATTCAAAACGAACTAATAGATATAATCCATAATATAAAAGGCCTACGACAAGGAAATACCTTATCCTGTGTATTCTATTTAATATCACGTTAGAGAAAATAATCAGAGAGTAAGAAGTCAACGCCAGAGAGGATACTATAATAACAAATAGTGCACAAAAAACAAATTTGAAGATGGCGCCGATATCACAGCTAGAATTAGAAAAGACATGATAAAAGTATGATAAGTTGAATGAGATGCAGCAAACAATGTCCTAAAATTAATTAAACGAAATACATGGATATTACTTAATCAACAGGATTGAGACATACATTGATTGAGACTACAGAATATAAACATAGAAGATTACAAAATTGAAAGCATGACAAATTTTACATACCAAGCTAATTAGTTACTTCAGATAACAATATCATCGAAGGGATCAAAAGAAGGGTACTGTGAATACAACATATAAAGGACTAATTAAGCATCTACGATAACATTAAAAAAAAACAAATGTCAAATATGCAACCCTGATATGACCAATATTGATCTGACTAGTTACTTTTGAAAGAAAAATCCTCAGATTTTTCACTAATCACAAAATTTGGTGTTTTATGTGCGGAAGTCAAACATTTACTTTTCACTTTACACAAAAGTGCAAACATTTCTTCAAACGGCAAACCTAACATATTGATCGATTACAAACAATCTGCATCTAGCATATACTGGCAGTCAGACAATCCTTAGGATCTCCTGACCAAACAACACTTCCAACGAAAGATGATAAACAAAATAAACGGCCCTTGTGAGGATCGCACAACCAGACCAATCGGACCTATAGTTCTAATTTGCCACATAAACATAGAAGGCATAAGCTATGCTAAAAGCCAGTTTTTATCAAAACTTAAAATATGACAACATTGACTTAGTTGCTATACAGGAAACCCACTGCGAAATAAAGGAGCAACTACAAAAAGGGGCAAAATACCGGGCTATGAACTATTAGGCGCAACTTACCACCGAAACATACGGCACAGCCACATATGTCAAAGAAGATATTGAAAATGCTTCGCTAATCTCTATTTCCACTGATGACTGTATTTATAATGTGGTCACAAAAATCGCTAGCATTACCGTGTCCAACATTTACAGCCACCTGCTACGTCTTGGCCAGTCCAAGCAATTCAAGTACAGCCTCACCCTGCTGTATATATTGGAGATTACAATAACCATCATGAACAGTGGAAGTACAAAAATAGTGATGCAAATGGGAATGCTTTAATAAAATGGGCAGAAGACGAACGCCTGTACCTTTTGTTTGATGCCAAAGATCGACCAACCTTCAGATCCACGGCATAGAGGCGGGAATACAACCCCGACCTATGCTTCGTCTCGACCGACAACAAAGACTTACCTCTAGGGGCTTCACGAAGAGTTCTAAACTGATTTCCCACACAGCCAACATCGACCAGTAATAATAGAAGTAGGGACGCAAATCCCTTTAATTAGTTATATCCCACGGCCAAGATAGAATTTTACAAAGGCCAACTGGATTGACTTCTCTGTAGATCTAGATAAATGCCTAGGGTGGATTACACTGAATATCAAAAACTACCACAGATTTGTTGGTGTCGTGCTAAGTGTAGCCAAAAAACACATACCAAGAGGATATTGCAAAGAATATATTCCTGGCTGGTCGGAAAATAGCGAGGAACTATATCAGAGCTTTCTTGAAACTGGCGACCAAGAAATAGCGGATGAACTACTGTACAGCCTAGACGCCACTAGAAGCCAAAAGTGGACCGAAACAGTAGAAAGTCTAAACTTCCAGAAATCAAGCAGACAGGCTTGGTCATTACTAAGAAAATTAGGGAGCGGCTGTCCGTACGAAACGCCGAGAGGTAGCCGTTAAAGCCAGATGCCGTAGACAGCACATATCGCACCCGCAGTGCAAGACTGCAGTAACTCAAAATTTTATGAAAATGAAGTAATCATGGAATTCGATTGTAAACATGCATATCTATCCCCTGTAAAACTTTGTTAACTTTCAAATGCTTAACCGGATAAATATTACAACAACAACAGTTTAACTATTTTGCGTTTTTGTACATAAGTTCCGTGCAAAACTGTTTTAATTCCAATGTAACAGAGTTACAACAATGCTGCACGGAACATTGCAATGGTTTTGATAACAAGCAATGAGAGGCACAAAAAAAAATAGATATTTGTTATATTAATATCTATATCTGTGGTGTTTAATTTTAATATACAGCGTGTCTACCAATTCATTAACGGCCAAGACAATAAACAAAGATTTACGAGACCAATCTATTTATGTAACTTTTATGTCCTTTGTGTGAGATTATATTTTCCATAAAATGTGTGTGATGTCGTTTGACCATCGACAATCCATATTGGATTAAAAACCATAAATTAAGACTAATTATTTACAGCCCAAAAGTACTTTTTCTTATAAAAGGAAAAACAGTTATCTTAAAAACTTGTGTATTAACAATACTGATAGGTTAGAAATATCTATTCTCAGAAAACTTGTTCTATAAAAAAACTAAATCCAAAATTGTATTATAATCTTCACGTAACCTTCCAGGCGATTGTCTTATCATATTGTCCCCCGTTATTCCCAACTTTTACTAAGATGGTGAATTTTAATACTTTTGTTAATCACTGTACTCAAAGTAGCCTGATTTGCATATTTTTATTATAGTCCTTTTGTTTTGAATTTAAATAAAAATATTGAAAGTTTTATAAATAATTTTTCTAACTTGTTATAACATTGTCATTACAAAGCGAAGGAATTGTGGCTATCAGACAAACATGTGCAGAAATAGGAATATTAATTGCCGCTAGCGATAAGCCGTTTATTAGGTACTATTTATTCTAGGTTAGCTATCTGATTTCTTGGAATCTATTAAATTTTAAAGTTTAATACCATACTAAACTTCGATTGCCGTTGGGGATTATTTTTTCTTTACTTACCCGATCATTTATTGGAACTTATTAAACGTATATGTATCAAACCCTGTGAATTATTTTCCCTTTATCTACCAGGTGATTTCTGGAAATCCATTAAATGATAAACTTCAATAATCGTAAACAATCTTTCCTTTCTGTTGGGTAGCAACTATATAAAATTATCAAAATAAAGAAATGTGACGTGGACAGATTTACAAATTCTGCAATGTAGAAAAGCTAATCCGCACACAATTTTCTTTAAGTACAACTATGATGACGAACTGTGGAATTATTTTAATCTGAAAAAATCATCACGGACTACACATAATATACGAGAAGTGCTACTTAACCTGCCTACAAAGAACAGCAAAAAATTCAAATGGTCAAAAAGAAAGCTTATATATATACTTATGCCATTCGGGTATGATACGAGAAGCCATAGTTTTATAAAAATATTTTGGACCAAGATGATGTATGAGAAGAGGACAAAAATTAACAGAAAATGTATCTACACTTTTTACAATTTTCTCCGTGCAAAAGTGTTGTAACTTTAAAATTCTAATACTAAATGAGTAGTGATTAACAATTTTCTCCGTGCAAAAGTGTTGCAACTTTAAAATTCCTTATTTTTTTTTAGCATTATTATTATTTTATTTAAATTTCTATTTTTGGTTAATGTACTATAGGCTAAAAAGCATACAAAGTTATAATTAAATGTTAATTTTTCTTAAAACTTGCATCTTATTTCACCGATATTAGCCCGAAAATAAACAAAATCGTCTTTATCTCCAAACTTACTTATTCTGACTTACTGCAGTCTTGCACTGAGGGTGCGATATAGTAAAAACATCCAGAGCACCAAAGGATAAAGCACACACCATTTACGTAAAGAGAGAACTTAAAACTTTAAATATATATAGGCACAGAAACGGAGCATTCTATCCCCTTCACCAGCGAAGACATATCAGAGGCTCTTAAAGACGTTAAGCCAGCAAAAGCACCAGGATTGATAATATTCACCCTGAATTCCTACTAAATTGTGGCAAGTATACAAAAGTTGGCTGGCTCGATTTTTCACTGACATCATGGAAACTGGAAATATCCCACACGAACTAAAGCGCTCTAAGATAATAGCCATACTAAAGCCAGGCAAACCCGCTGACAATCCAAAAAACTACAGACCACTTGCGCTTTTCTCTGCCATCTACAAACTATTAGAGAGGCTTATATATAATAGAATCAGTACAGAACTGTTTCAGGTCGAACAAGAGGGTTTTCGACCAGAACGAAGCTGTGCGGACCAGGTAATGTCACTCACCACCTACATCGAAGCGGGTTTCCAAAGAAGACTTAAAACTTCAACAGCATTTATTGATCTCTCGGCAGCTTACGATACAGTATTGAGAGAGGGCCTTATATACAAAATTCTCCGTGCAATCCCTGTAAACAAATAGCACGTTTAATAGATAGCATGACTCAAACGACCGAATGTTTCAAGTAGTGATGGGCACAGATATCAGCCCACCAAAGAAACTTAAGAATGGCCTACCACAGGGGTCAGTGCTCTCTCATTACTATTTAGCTTATATTTAGCAGATATGCGGAAACACAATCAGGAAAGTTGGATACGCCGATGACTGGGCCCTCACTACACGATGCAGAACATAGAAACATCTGAAGTTCTGACGGCAGACTTATATATTGAGCAAATATTTTCGCAAGTGGCGGCTTCAACCAAATGCATCCAAAACAGAAGTTAGTTGCTTTCACCTGAACAATAAACTTGCTGGAAAGGAACTCAACATACGGTTTGAAAATACCTACTTTCCACAACAAACACCGAAGTACCTGGGCGTAACACTAGACAGAACGCTATCATTTAAAGAGCATTTAACAAACAACTGCCCAAAAGTTGAGTACAAGAAATACATTATACAGAAGCTCTGCGGTACCACCTGGGGAGCATCGGCTTCCACTCTCCGCTCTACTGCCTTAGCCCTGGTTTTCTCGACCGCTAAAAAAGTTCACACGTAAAAAAGGTCGACACCAGTTGCACAGCACTATGAGGATGATAACTGGTACAATTAAATCAACTTCCACCCAATGGCTTCCAGTATTAAATCACATTCCACATTTACGATGAGTTGACGCATTACACGTGAATACAAAAATTAATGAACAATATAAACCTTGCTGATCCACCAAGATACCGAGGATGCACGAAATACCCGTCTACGTTCTAGAAAACCACCAATGAAAACGGCAAGAATGCCGTTGCATTACTGCCCTGCATTACCCCAAAGCCACCAGGTTTTGATCTTCCACGTAAAAAATGGTCCACTCTAAACAGGATCCGAACCAGACATAGGCAGATGTGCATGCATGCTACATAAATGGGGAAAGAATCCGTCTCCTCAATGTGACTGTGGGAAGAACCAAACGATCGACCACATTATTGAAGAGTGTCCCTCAAGATCCTACAATGGTAGCTCTGAAGACTTCCTGTTTGCAACTTCAGAGTCAATTGATTATGTTATACACTTGATTTTTGTTTGTAACTATTTAAAGTTTGTCATATACCTATATTACTAGTGTTTGTAATTTTGTTCTAAATGTGTTGTAATTGCCATACGATAAATAAATAAATAATTTGCATCTAGAATAGATGCACTTGACCAGATTTGTTAGTGGAAAACATGAAGCGATTGAGAATATTTTTGGAAGCAATCAGTATGGCCAGTATTACTATTTTTGTGTCATACACTGGTACAAAAATACAGAATTAATGCAAAACCAACTTCTAGACATAGTTTTATGATAGAACTTGTAAAGAGTCTACCTAAGATTTGACTGTACCACAGACTGCCAACCCCTTTGAGGCGTTTCATTCGCACAGATATTTCCGAAATTTTGAATGTGGTCACAAACCTATGATTTTTTCGACTTTTGAAGGGAAAGATCACACCATATATTATATTATTTTCATGCAATGTTTAATTGGTCTTACTTTTTTTAAATGTTTGTAAATACAATTTCACATGTAAGTATATTATTTTTCTTCTATATTCACTTACCATACTTTACTATTAATTTACATGAAAATATTATTAGTGTTCTAAGGTTACGCAAATAAAGTTTACTATAAATATATATGTTTTACATACATACTACAAATATATATGTTACAAATTGGAAGTATCTTGCTCAAGATAGAGATCGATGGAAAGAGTTGGGAGAGGCCTATGTCCAAAGACGGATGATAGAAGGCTAAGGAGAAGATAAATTATATCTATGTAGTAACTATTGGAAAAAAAATTTACTAATATTACATATATGAACGATACTTAAAATTAAAAATAAATAACGATAGTATACATACCACTAACTATAAAAGGTTCATTTTATATTCCCTAATTTATTAACATTACAGCTCTTTCATGAGCATTTTCAGCAGTTAACATACATGCTTTACTAGGTGCTGCTCGAACATCCCATATTCTTATACTTTTATCAACAGAACATGAAGCTAGAACATTTTTTTCATTGGGAGACCATTGAATGTCTTCTACTGAATCTGTGTGACCAATTATGGCGCTTTGATCTACAGACCAGGAACCTGCACTAGTTGGTTTCCAAATGTGTATGTCCCTTTTACAGTCACCAGTAGCTAACATCTAAAATAAATCAGTATTATTATACTCCAATTTTGAAATGGGCGATAGGATAGTTTTATAGCGAAGATTGAAAGTCTTTATACAAGAATGCTTAATGCAGAAAAATGATAAATACCGATATCTTTTTGTCTCAGTTTTCTACAAGATTTATAAAAATAATACCCCCCCTTCCACTGACAACCTTCGAATACAATATAACATAAAATACAAAATAACTGTATCATCAAAAATTGTGCCATCTATAATTTTCACGTGTATAGTACCTTAATAATTATTCATCAGTAATTTATCATCTCATTAACATTGTAGGTTTATATACTTTTTCATCCAAATTTTTGCTGTCCATAAATCAACATTTCATCATTTTACTAAAAACAACAACTTAAAATATTGATAGGATGTGACACCATGATCTGCAAGTCTTGTACTATTGAACTGACAACAAATATAGTCAAATTTAATGACAGGATTTAATAACAGGATATACCAGATAAGTATGCTTTATTGAGATGGCCAAAACATACTAATAATAATGAGTCCTTTGTTCCATTTTCTTAGACTCGCAGGACCATTTAGAGCGAGTGACTGGTTCACCATATATCTTGTAGCAAATCTAATTCCACATTTTATAGGCAATATGTTTCCTTAAATCATTAGTTCGAGTAATCAAGATATATTACATATTAATATAAATGTAGTTTTCACCAATTTTCTCCATATAACATGAAACAAGACTAGTGTCCTCATCATAATATAATCTCTCTCTTCCAATGGCGCTACAGCCCAAATCGGGCCTTGGCCTCCTTCCAAACTTATGCCTCCAACCTTATCGGGTCCCGCGCCGATTTTCTCCGGGTTCCTCAAGTCTAGCAAATTTTGCGCGTCCGCTGCCACTTCATCCTCCCAACTTTTCCGTGGCCTTCCTTTTGGTCTTGCTCCCTGCATTTTACTCTCTAGGGCTCTTTTCAGCAATCTTTCTGTCCCCATTCTTACTACATGACCAGCCCAGCGAAGTCTCTGAAGTTTAACGAATTCTGAGATCGGTGTCTCTTTGAACAGTTGGTATAGTTCATGGTTGTACCTGGATCTCCATATTCCGTTTTCGTTAATAGGTCCAAATATCTTTCTTAGGACTTTTCTTTCGAACGACTTCCAGTTTTCTTACTGTCTCTTCTGTCATCACCCATGTTTCGCATGCATAACATACTATTGGTCTGATAATATTTTGTATGACCCTGATTTTCGATCTCCAGTGTTGTGTTTTGGAGCGGAACACATGATCGAGTGAAAAGTAAGCTTTTACTTCTCTTTATTATTCTTCTTTGGATTTCTGATTCTTCTGCTCAATCCGTGTTTAATGCAACTCCTAAATATGTGAAACTTCTTTCTACGCTTTCAATATCATCCTCTAATTCAACTGTAAGTCTGTTTCCCCTAGCTCTTGCCTGTGTTAACTTTTTTTTCTTTTGAATATTTATTTCTTAGTCGGTCTCTTTTGCCTTTGTTTTTAATTGTGAATATATTTCTGCCGCTCTTCTGTTCTGCGAGACATGATTGCCGATATCATCGGCATAGGAGGCAATCTGTATTGATTTATTTGTTAGGAGATTACCTCTTCCTATATTCAGCTATCCTTATTACATATTCCAAGGTCAGGTTGAATAGTGTCTGTGCCTCCTTGCTTTAATCCTTGGACTATTGTAAAGTTTTCAGTGAGCTCATTTTTTACTCTGACAGTTGTTATTTGACGAATCCATTGTTGTCTTTACCAGTCGGATGTTATTTTTGGAGGATATTAAAGCTCTGCATATTTTTGATATAACTTGTTCCTATTAATTGAGTCGTAGGCTTGTTTGAAATCTATGAATATGTTGTGGACGTCAATGTCGTATTTCCACGATTTGGTTAAAATTTGTTTCACTGTGAATAGTTGGTCAGTTGTAGATCTTCCTTGTCGGAAACCGGTTTGATATTCCCCGACAATATTTTCAGTAGTTGTTGGAGTCGTTTATTTAGTATGTAAGTAAAAATTTTGTACACCGTGCACAAGTGGGTTATGCCGCGATAATTTTCGCATTTCAGTTTATCCCCTTTTTTATAGATTGTCAAAAATTAATTACTATTAATTGAATTAAAAATATTTTCAACAACTTTTTGACTCACAGCCTATTATCAATGTATTCTCCTAATTTTAAATGTATGTACAAATGTGAGTTTGATTAATTACGTTATAAACGTAGTGATCCTGCAGTGGAATCTTAAGCTATGATATTATTTGACTGAAAAAAAAAATTCCAAAGTTGAAATTGAAGAAATCTAAACGTCAAAATAAACGTATTTTTAAATGAAATTGAGCTTAATTCTCATTAAAGATAGTAGCTAACACAGGTTATAAATTATTTTTTGATATCAACCATTTCTGAGCCTGAGTTCTTGGTTATATCATTTCTTCATAATGACAATTTGTGTTTACATTAGAGTAGATGACTTTAAAAAAGTCATGTCAGTATTTTTGAGACTTCATGGGACACTAGTTTGTTTACATATTCTAATCATAACAGCAAAATTTTCTTATTAGTGACTATTAGATATAAATTTTGACGAAACAAAAAATAATTTAAGTTAAGATTCAATTTTCTGAAAATTTTATTTTGAGAACAGCTTCATACACACATCAAAATAATCTAGGGAGCACCTATATTAATAGCTTTAAAATCAATGTTAGCTGCAAATATAAAAATAAATTTGTTTTTAATCTTTTTTGTTGTTTTCTAGATTATTGCACCAACTTGTACGGTAATGCTGATAAGAATGGCTTAAAAAATTGAACAAAACTTCAATAGGCCTTTTTGTCTATAAGATAAAAAGTAATGTTTCTTTATTGGTACTTGATTTTCGTTAGCGGGATGCTTCAAGCTGGCAGACATCAGAGACATTGCTGAGGTCCTCCACAAGTGTTATTAATCGTTTGTGGTTAAGGTGTTTCAAGAAACTGGTGATGCTGCTGAACGTCATACAGGCCGTACAATAATAACCAACCAGATTGAGGACCGTTTTTTAGGTTGCAGGGTTTGCGAGATCGCACTGTAACTACATCACAATTACAAATGAAGCTGCAAGAGACCCATCAGGTGTTTGTAAGTGGCCAAACCATTAGAAATGGACTGCATGGGTTAAATGCTCGAAGACCTGTAAGAGCACATGTGTTATCTAGAGGAAATCACGCGCATCAACTTCAGTGGGCACAAGAACCACACAAATTGGTTTAAACGTGAGTAGGCCTCTACTTTGTTCACAGATGAGTCCCGATATGGATTTGCACCAGATACAAGATAAACAAGAATAGAGACGATCTGGCATTGCTGAACGATTGGCCACTGTGCAGGAGGTTCATAGACAGCAAGGCGGCAGTATAATGATATGGGGTGGCATCACTCTTGTGGAAGAACCAATCTCGTTTGTCTGGAATGGTTTCTAAGCAAGCTGGTTCCCAATTTCAATTGATTGAGATGCTTTCATCGAGTCCTTGTAGACACTTTGTCTCAGGACCAGCAACTTCATGTGGAGTTGTATGTTGTCATGTTACCAAATCCACTGGTAACTTTAACATCTTAACACATTGCCTGCCGTCTCGGTCTATGTGACCAAGAAAAAAATTGCCCTGCACGCCAGCGAGGTCTACTAACCAAGAATTTTAATGTAACTGTGTTGCCAGCTCGGTCACTATGGCGTGAACGGAAAGTACTACAAAATCCTCTACGGCAGCAACGTGTTAATATATATATATATATATATATATATATATATATATATATATATATATATATATATATATATATATATATAAGATCAAATTATGTAAACCAAATTTAAACATATAACTTTTAAGGGGTTTTTACCCAGATGTTTAGTGGCTCAATACATGTACACCTAGACACTGATGATGGAACATGGATTCTGAAAATGTTTTGTTACTGTGATATAGCCCAATTGGGTTTTTAAATTATATAACTTTTATAAAGGATTTTATTAAATTTTTTGTGATGCATGGTACACAGCCAACTACAGGAACTTCGTTTCCTTGTGGATTTCAATTAATGCACGACAATGCGCGTCTGCATACTGCTAGGGTCGTACCAACACTCTTCGAAGATAATGAAATTAAGGTTTTACCATGGCCTGTACAATCGCCAGATTTAAACCCAATTGAGCATGTATGGGACATATTGGGCAGACGCATTTTACAAGAAAATATTGCGTTCAATACAAGACAGCAACTGTTTGACAGCCCTTTCAATGGAGCGAAACAGAATGCTGCAGCAAGACCTTGAGCATCTAATCATGAATTTGCCTAACATATATAGGACAGTAATCAACAACCTTGAAGGTCATACACTATACTAACTGAACCTAAAGACTACTTTGTTGAGAGTTGACGGGCAACAAACTAGTTTATTTTTCTTTTGTTACCATTTTTTACTTATGGAGTTCTCTTTTAATTTTCTTAAGAGCAATTGCAATAACTGTGAAAAAATGTTCAGAAATGTTCAGAACAAAAAAAATGGAGAAAGGTAGGTAATATTTACCTAAGAAAGTAATTTGTGTATCAAGCTAATTTTAATGGAAAAGTACTAGAGATAAAATGATCAATAAACATTCCATTGGAGTTTTATTACCATAACAACAGAAAAATGATATAGAAAGCCAAAACTATATCCATTATAATACAGATCAATAATTGATTAGAATGTTTAAATAACCTTGTCACATTTTTTGACATGGACAGGCAATTTTTATAGTTCACGCATATTAATACAATATTTATCACTATTTATTTATAGAATTTATCACTGAGCAATTCATAATTAATATTAATAGTGAGTATGAAATTTAATTGCTGACCCTCCTTTATATAATTTCTTTTTCACTTTTGTGTTCTACTTTATTTGGTTTAGACAAAATTGTAAAAGTATAAAAATTTTAACCTAAATTATCTCTGCATAACAATAACTGAAAAGACAAAGTCCTTTCAGTAAAGGACACTTACTCCTTGTTCAACAGGACACCAATCTATCGCAAATCCTTCTTTCTGGTGTCCTGTAAATGTAAAAACAGGTGAAACGGAACTTGCAGTATTTTCTTTATTATACTTTGTTAAGACAGCTTATTGTCTACAGCTTGTAACTGAGCAGAAAGGTTCCATATATTAACTCTGCCTAGTTCACTCCATGATGCAGCCATGGTAACTTCACCCATACAAGTAGCCTAAAACATGATATTAAATATAAGTACAGAACAGATGCACTAAATTTAAAATCATACACACTAAAATACTATTTCTGATCACTACACTTTATGAAAATAAAAAGTAATATAAGGAAATACAAAAAAGATCATTCTATTTATATTGATTTTAATAAATTATTGATCAATGTAAGCTTTTGTAACTGACATGAAGTATATTCAGTCACCAATATTAATAAGTTATTAGACTTTTTTATTTCAAATGTTCAAAACTGTAAAAAAAAGCAATTCAAGTGTAGAAAAAATGTATAATTAACGAAATCAACCATTTATGCACAAGAAAAGAACAAATGTGTTAAAAACTAATGACAGATAAAAGAATGCACTAGCAAGAATTTATTAAATAAAATTTTATTTCCAAAAGTTATTTTGAAATCACTCTTATATATATTGTACCCATTATGCTTAAAACATTTTACATAAATCAATATTGAATTTTGTAAGAGACTGTAAAATACATTGAGTAATAAGGATTTATGAAACATAGAAAGTTGTGGCTAAAGGTTCCAAATCAAAGCAAAAAAATATCCACAAAATATTTACAAGACCTTTGATAATTATAAAGATATTTTTCCTGAAGGGTAGAGATTAAAATTAAACACAAACACACTGAATATTATTATTTATTTTATTTATCAACACGAAATTGCCAATTTAAATACAATATTATAATATTATAATACTATAATATAAAATTTTAAAACCCTAATTTATTAGATGTAGTAAAATTTAATACTAACAGACATAATAAACCCAGCCCATTAGGAGATGTAGGGACTGCATTGCATCAGTTTTCTGAGTAATCTTGACTTTAAGAAATCCTCCAAAAACTATGTGAAATATCATAAATAGACAAAGAATATCTCATGCTCTATGTCAGGCTCATAACATCACTCCAGATGAGTTTAATAATCATTTTTCTCAAATTGCCCACAACTTATTAAAAGATATACCTAAATTACATATGGATTTTTTGAAGAACATCAATATAACTCTCTAAAAGAGCTTTTCCTTTTCTGAAGTATCATTTAATCAGACCTGGGAAATCATAGACAACTTAAAAAAGAAAAAAAGCTGTGATAGATATGGCTTAAATGTAAGCATTATTAGGTAAGATGATAAAAAATATTATCATAAGCCCTCTTGCACACTTAATAAATATATACTTTAAAGAGAATACATTTCCCTGAGTTCTACAATGGGGCTATTATAACAACCATATTTAAAAAAAGTAGAAAAGGCCATGGCTTTGCAAATCACAAGCTTTTTTGAAAGTATTATATATATTGAAAAGTATATTATTTTTCAGGATCACACTTTGATTTCAGAAGGAAAGGAGCACAATTGGTGCTCTTTACCTAGTGTCCTGCATCTTGGAATCCTTTCATGGAATGCAATGTAACACTGTTGTGTTTTGTGACTTGAGTAAGGTATTTGATTATATAGACCATGGGATACTCCTGAAAAAACTACAGAGATACAACTTTTGTCCACAGACTGTCAAGTTGATCCATACCTCGAGAACAGGGTACAATCTGTGAGGGTGTCCGAGGTGCTGTCCTTGGACCCATACTATTTCTAATATATATTATATATAGATATATATATATATATATATATATATATAATATATATATATAATACATCCTACTATCATTTTGGCATCGATACATTATGCTTTTACCATCAATTTAGCATCGTCTTGCAAAGTAGCATCTGTATATCGACGCTACTTTACAAGACCTTAATAACTTTTTTCCTGTACTTGTTACAAGAATTTTAACCATCTCAATGATTAGAGATTTGATACCGTGTTGGTATTTTAAAATGTCCGCTTTCTCTTTTTATCCCTTACTGAGTTATATAAGTTTATTCCAGGAAATGTTTGAGTCTAAAATGATGGTACAGTGAAAATATTATATATATTTAGTTCAGGGTTTTACCGTTTACTCGCTGCCATTATATACATGAACATGTATATCGCACTTTCATTATCAATCATTTTGGCATCAGAAATTTGGCATCGCTGTTGAATATAATATTACCCACAACGAAATAGTAAATTTAAGAATTTATATATATTTTTTTCATCCATAAATCATTCTAGCATCTTGTTTGATTAAAAATAACGGGTTACATATTGGGTATATATAACGGGGTATATATTGCATATTTTTGCTCCAATTGGTCCAGTCGTGATGTACAGCACCTCAAATGATAGGATTTAACCAATAAAATACAATAAGACAGAAAAGCAGCATGTCAAAAAGGCCTTAGTTATATATCTTCGTTTCTATAAGTCCAATCGTGACGTACAGTATCTCAAATGATAGGATTTAACCAATCGAAAACAATGAAATAGAAAAATCAAATACAGCAACATGTCAAAAGGGCCGTAGTCACGTATTTTTGATCCTATTAGTCCAATCGTGACGTATAGTACCTCTAATGATAAGATTTAACGTAAAGAATACAATGGGATAGAAAAATGAAATACAGCACTATGTCAAAAGGGCCTTAGTTGTGTATCTTCGGTTCTGTTAGTCCAATCATGACGTGCAGTACCTCAAATGAAAGGATTTAACAAATAAAATACAATGAGATACAATGAGGTAATGGAGTTGCATGTCAAAAGGGCCTTAGTTATGTACCTTTGGTCCTATTAGGCCAATAGTGACGTACGATATTCAAATGATAGCACTTAACCAATCTTCTTCTTACGGTGCCTTATCCTTAAGGACGTTGGCCATTACATTTGCCCATTTAATCTTATTTGTAGCAGTTCTGAATAGTTCTGAATAGTCTATGGAGGTCATGTTCGTCCATGGCCGTAGGTTTTTAGAAAGAGTTGCAAGAGTTTTTTTGCAAGAGTTGCGTCTTCTTCCTGGTCCTCTTTTGCTATTGACTTTGCCTTCGATTATAAGTTGGAGCAGTTCATACTTTTGACTTTTTATGATGTGACCAAAATATTGTGTTTTCCGTTCTTTTATTGTAAGCATAAGCTCTCTTTCCTTATTCATCCTCCGCAAGACTTCCGCATTCGTCGTATGGCTCATGTAGGATATTCTGAGCATTTTACGGTAACACCAGAGTTCGAATGCTTGGATTTTTTTTGTGTTGCTTCTGTCATTGTCCAGGCTTCAACACCATAGAGCAAGGTGGAGAAAACATAGCACTTAAGTATTCTAGTTCTCAATGAGATGCCCAGCTGGCGGTTGATAGAACTTTTTGCATTTTGTAAAACATTCTACGTGCCTTTTCCAGGCGTATTCTTATCTCTAGTGAGTGGTCCCAAGTTTCATCAAGATTACTTCCAAGGTACGTTGTTCTTGTTACTCTATCCAGATCTGTTCCGTCGACATTGACCTTCACCCTTCTGTTTTGGTGCTTGCTGATGATCGTCGTTTTTGTCTTCTTTGTATTCAATTTCATTCCAAATTCTCTACAGGCTGTCGTTACTCGGTCCATTAAGCGTTGCAGGGCTTCAGCAATATTTTCCAGTATGACAGTGTCATCAGCATATCGCAGGTTATTTATACATTGCCCGTTTATAATTATACCATCCGAGGTGCCTTCCAAAGCTTTCTGAAATATCTTCTCAGAGTAAACATTGAACAGCAAAGGTGATAGACACCCTGTCTTACTCCCTTCTCGATATTGATTTTTCCAGATGTTTCGCTTTTTATTCTGATTTTAGCCTTTTGTTCTTGGTAGAGGTTTGAAATGATCCTTAAGTCTTTATCGTCGATATTACATGACCTTAAAATAACTATTAGTTTACAATGTTTCACCAGGTCAAACGCCTTCTGAAAGTATATAAAACACAAGTATACATCAGAATCGACATCTCTACATCTTTCAACTAGCACACGTATTGAAAAAAGTACTTCTCTTGTTCCGAACCCATTCTTAAAACCAAACTGAGTTTGACCAGTGTGTTCGTCTAGTTTATTGTATACTCTATTGTGTATTACTCGTAGGAAAAGTTTCAATATATGATTCATCAGGCTAATAATCCTATGGTCTTCACATTTCTTGGAGTTTTTTTTCTTTGGTAGTGGTATAAACACCGATGTCAGCCAATCATTTGGTATTATACCTGTTTCGTATATTTTGTTAAATATATCTTCCATTACTTCGATGTGTTCGTCTAGTAATATCTTTATTATTTTAATTGGGATATTATCTTCCCCAACAGCTTTTCCGTTCTTTATCTGATTTGCCGCTTTGATAATTTCTTGCTTTGTGATATAAGGTCCAGTCGATGCCTCCTGCATGTAAATGTTCGTCCTCTCTCGGTCTTGAAACATCTCTTCCACGTATTCTCTCCATCTACCTATTTGATCTCCTCTGTTCAGTACGCGTTCCCATGTTTATCTTCGATGAAAGACGTAGGAGTTTGTTTAAATATTCCAGCGGCTTCTTTTACTTTTTTATGTAGATTGAAAGTATCATGTCTTTGTTCCAACTCTTCAATTTCTTGGCATCTTTCACTTAGCCAGGTTTCTTTGGCTTGTTGGATCTTTATTCTGATATTCTTGTGTATTTGCTTGTATGTTGTTTTATTTTTACCTCTGTATTTTCTTCTTTCGTCCATCATGTTTAGAATTTCTTCTGTCATCCATGGTTTGTTACTCTTGTAAGTGTTTTCTCAATATAGTGCCAGTCTTCCTCGGGAGTTTGTGTCGATTGTACTGTTCTGTTACTCAAGTGTCTATGTATTCCTTCCCGTATTTTATTACTAGTGGATTCTTCTTTAAGCTTATCTGGGTTAATAGCTATTATTTGCTTATTTCTTTTTGTTCTTTTAAATTCTATCCTAATTGTTGTAAGAAGAAGATTGTGGTCGGTGGGGATGTCAGCTTCGGGGTATGTCTTGCATGCTTTTACTGCGTTTTTGTATCTTTTGTTGATCATTATGTAATCGATTTGATTTCTTGTGATGCGTCCTTCTATTCCAT